CACCAAACTTCTTCACCTGGTAACACTGAAACTGTCCCCATTAGGCAACAACTTCCCATTCCCCATCCCCTGGCAACCCCCATTCTCCCTTCTGTGCCTATGAACTTGACTACATTCAGCCCTCATGCAAGTGAAAACCTACAGTATATATCCTTTTGTGACTGGCTTCTCTCACTTAGCACGATGTCCTCAAGGATCATCCATGTTACAGTGTGTGTCAGAATTCCCTTCCTTTCTAAGGCTGAGTGACATTACGTTGTGTGGGCAGACCGTATTTTATTTATCCATTCATGCACTGCTGGACACTTGGTTGCTTCCATCTCTTAGGGATTGCAAATGATGCTGCTATGAACACGTATATAGGGTGTCTCTTCCAGACCTAGCTTTCGATTCTGTGGAAGCAGAATTGCTGGATGATGGGGTAATTCTACTTCTAAGGTTTCTGAGGAATCGCCACACTGTTTTCCACAGTGGCTACATCATTGTGCATTCCCTCTCACGAGGCACAAGGGCTCTGATCTCTCCACCGCCCCACCAACACTTGTTTTCTGTTTCTGTGATAGTAACCATCCTAATGGGTGTGAGGTAGATTGTTCAGTTTTGCACTGAAGAGAAATCAGTGAATAGATGAAGAATTCAGTGAAATCCTGCTTGAGTCACCATTGCTGACATGAAACTTAGAAACTATTTGGTTCAACCCTCTCTTTGCACAGACAGGAAAACCAAGACACAGATCTGCTCTTGCTACTAAGGATGAGACAGCAGGCAGCGCCAGGTCCCTGGCACACCGGGTCTGCTCTGGGCTTCCACAGCACCCTCCCCTTACACCAGGGTCATCAGCTGCTCCTGTCAGGGGCTACACTGTAACAGTTTTCCTCTCTGTAGGCTGTGCTGTCTCCGTCACAGCTACTCAGCTCAACCCATGCAACAGGGACAACATGGCACATAGACAAATGTGCACAGCTGTTTTCCAATAAAACTTTATTCATAGAAACATGTGGCAGGCCTGATTTAGCCCAGTTTGCTGACTTCTGTTCTGGAACATTCATTGTACAAGCAACTGTGAGGATCTGTGATGTACTGGGCCCTGTCCTAGTGCTTAGGACACACAGAGCTATAGACAGTTGCTCCTGGTCCCCAGTGGGTCAAGCTATGAGGTAGCTGAGGACTCATAGGTTGCAGACCCAACTCTTCACATTGATGAGGGCCTTGTGCCAACTTCCCTAGGGAGGTCCTAAGTCCCCCACCCCTTGTCCGGGTGGGCAGGCCTTTCCTACAGCCACCTAGTGGGACTGCACATTCCATAGGGCACTGTCCACATCTCCTGGCTCCAGAAACAGACAGAAGATCATGTCTCCTCTGAGGCCCTCTCCATAGCTTTGTAGCAGGAACCCCTGGACACTAGTCTGGGGAACCTGATGGGAGAAGGGAGGGTGGCGGCAGTTACCAGCAGAGGGGCCTGTTAGCACAAAACATGGGCCCTGAGTACGCTGAGCAAGCCCACATGCTGGAGTGTGAGGCACACAGGACAAGGTGGGGGCTGGGGACTAACCCAGGAGGGTGTGAGCCTACGTGTGCCAAGATCAGAGAAAGCCACATGCCAGACACTGCCTGGGCATTTCAGTTAGCTTGAGCAGCAATGACAAAAAGGGAGAAGAGGCAAGATTCACAGAGCCACTTGTGTGTCATTAGAAAGCACTGACACTGACCTTTCTGGAGCAATAAATATAGGCAGACACGTCCACACATGCTCACACATGGTCATTGCAGGGAAGTCTACAAAGCGAACACTAGGAAAAGCAGGCACAGACTGGGGCAGAGATGCAAGCCCAGTTCTCCATGTGCCCCTGAGGAAGTTTCTGGGGTCACAGGGTACCCCCAGCTGACTGGCTCTTCTTTTTCCAACTAGAACCGGCACTGAATGGGGTCCTGCTGCATGCAAGCCCTGGTCCAGGGTTCCCTTCAGCAGCAGGAGGAGACTTAGGGTCCTCCCAGTTGGCCCTTGAGGGTACAGGGAGTGCAGTAACCCAGCCAGGTTCCCGCCACCATCAAGTGAGTTGCAGGGCGCAGGGCTGTGGGCTGCACAGCACTGGGCTCAGCCGGGCCAGATCCCATAGATATGGGGGTACTTGCCTGCCTCTGGCCAGGCCCTCTGTGGTTCACTTTCCATCTGGCTTTCTCTGAGCTCGCCCAAGCTTTCATCTCTTCCATACCACAGGGGTGGCTGTGAAGATGAATCAGATGGTATGGGTGAAGGTCCAGGCTGTGGTGGGCCACCCAGAGAGTCTCAAGCTCCCAGGAACCCCCATTGCAGTCACGGAAGGAGCCAAGGTCTGCCTAGCACCCCGGCCCTACTAATTGAATAAGTATTTATCTGTGTTGAGTACCTAAGTACAGTGGTTTCCATGGATACCCACTCCTAATGGCTTAATGAAACAAGGGCACGGGTGTTCCAAAGCCCGCATCAATGCCAGTGCCCCAGGAAGCACCCAGTCCATGGTCGGGGCCTACCAACTTCTTTCTGGAAACATCAGAGGCAGGGTGGCCTATAGTCTGGGAGTGGAGATTAAACAAATGGAAATCAGTAGCCACTATATGTCATTTTGATAACATTATGTATTGAACCCCAAACTAAGTCTTCAGTGGGCAGGACTTGCACCCTGCTAGACGCGTGTGCCTTGCCCTCCCATCCATCGGTGGCGTACTCTCAACTACGCACCAAACAAGACCCCTGCTGGGAATGTGAGCCCAGAATCTAGGCTGCTGCCCTCTCCCAGGGCCCTCCAGAGCTTTGTCCTAGGTGTGTGCCTAGCCCTGCTAGCTGGGGCCTTGGCCACATGCCAGCCAGTCCTACTCTGACCTACCTCCTTGACCGGTGCTGCTCCTCACCCCAATTGGTCTACCTCCCAGCTGGCACCCGAACCTTTTGCTCAGGTTTTTGCTCAGGGGACATTGCTGGGAGTAAAAGACCATGGTCAGAGTCATGCCACCTGCACTTGCAGGAAGAGGGGATCTCAGGGTAGCCTGGGCTGCAAGACAGACCATGGCTTCCAGCCTCCTAGCCTCACATGAGTTCTTTTTGGCAGAATCTTGCCAGATGCCAGCAGGAAAGGGGAGATGGGCAACATCATGCCTGGGAATCAGAGGAGAGAGCAGAGAAGGGGAAAGCTATGCTGAACGGCCCACAGATCACCCAGTCAAGACCCAAGTCTGACCTGTACCTGCAGGCACAAGTCTGCTCTGAAAACAGATGGGAGCAGGAGGGATGAGCTGCCCCTCACCTACTGCTTTGCCCCTGTGGCAGGTGAGTGCTTGGCCAGGGAGCTCGGCCAGGACAGTCACCCAAGGCTGGGCTGTAAACAGTTGAGGATGCCTCAGTCTCACCCCACGCTGGCTCCGGGGGTGCTGGCTTTCCTCATGTGCATTCCGAAGCACTTGCTGCTCCTATTAAAACAACATGAGGCTCAAGCCACCCCCACACCGGTGAGCAGGCCGGTCATTTGGAAAGAATCCTCCAGCAGAGAATGTTCCAGGCAAGATTTAAAATTAAGTTGAAGCAATTCATAAGAGCAGCTGTGGCAGCACTGGGACCTAAGAGGGGGCTCGGGCTTTGGGGGTCTCCCCTCTTCACAGTGGCTGTCCTCACACAAGCCAGCAAGCAGGCACATGGGAGCTGGATTTGGACAGCAGGCCCTCAGCGCAGTGCCCATAGTAGGACGGTGGGCATGAGGATCCTGGAGCTCTGTAGGGGTCCCTGGTGGCTGTGGGATACCCCTTTTGGGGTGAACTTTGCTGGATGGGTTGGGAAGCAGATGCACTCTCAGAGGGGTCCTGAGAGAAGGCAGAGAATTGTACAGAGCAAAGGAGGAGAGCTAGTAACTGCGGGACAGAGGGCGCTGGACAGGGCTGTGGCCTGGGGAGGGTCGCCAGGCAGGGAGGGCACTGGGGAAGCAAGACCTCCATATCTCAAATCTGCCAGAGCTGGCACCAGGGCCCCACAATCCATTGAGTTCACTTCAGATTGCAGAGTGGACCTGAGAGTGAGTGGAGAGTGATAAGGACAGGCGGTGCTAGGCAGTTTCCCGAGGACTGGCTGTGGTGGGCAGGAGGGTGATGTCCGATAGCCAAGGCTGACAGCACCCTTAGGGCTGACCCGAGGACTATCTTATAAAATCTTGGCTCCAGCAGAACCCCAGGAGCAAAGGAGGGGCCAAATGAGGAGCCTAGGAGCCAAAGGAGCCAGATGGGCCAGGCAAGCCTGTCCCTATCCCCTCCCACCAGGCGGAGCCACCTCCCACCCGAGTCAAGGGTGCCTCCTGTGCCCTAACTGACCTGGGGAGATTGTACTATATTTAGATTCCCTCCTTAGTCGGTGGCCTCTCACTGTGGTCTCAGGCTGAGGACAGGAAGGGCAGGCCACAGAGGGGATGGCCTGGACTCAGCCCCTAACCCACCATAAGCAGGACTGCAGATGGCCCCCCAACTCCCCTACCTCCTTTCCCACCTCCACTCCCCTTTCAGCCATTCCAGGGAGGTACCAGGGACACCCAGGTGAAGCCCTGAGTAACCCCCGGGGGCACAGCCTCAGCAGCCTCACCAGAAAGGTAGGAAGTCTTCCTGGAGGAGGTGTCTGAGCTGCTCTTGGGAGATAACAAAAAGTGTGCTATGAAGGTCCTGGTGGGATGGGTGCTCTACCCACATGGGAAGGCATGGAGAAGCAAGCATGAGAGGAGCAGAGCCCCTGGTGCTCCTGGACTGTGTAGAACAGGCGTCCTCAAACTATGGCCCCCAGGCCACATGCAGCCCGCCTAGGACATTTATCCAGCTCGCTGGGTGTTTTTGCCGCAGCTGCCTATCCTGCTTAGCAGCCAACTCGTCCTGGGCCCGCAGTCCAGCCCTACAACGGTCTGGGGGACAGTGAACTGGCTCCCTGTTTAAAAAGTCTGAGGACCCCTGGTGTAGAAGATGCCAGGAGGGCACAGAGGGCACAGGCTCCAACCATGCTGCAGGTGAGTGCTGGACTAGGCCCTGCTGTTGGAGGGTGTATGGGGAGATCCCTGGGCCAGGTCTGTATTGCGACAAGGAGAAGATGGCACTCAGGTCTCCTATGGATATAGTCATGGTTCTCTTGGATGCCTGGGACTAGAGTGGGGATGGAGCCTTTGGCATGTCACCCTTGACACCAGTTGACCTTGCAACTACACTGAAGCTTTAAATTTCTAGGAGAAACCCGGATTTCAATGTCCACATTGCAAAAGACAGGGGCGGGGCAGCCAAACTCGAGGCCCTCGGAGGGGCTTCCTATGATCTAACTGGAAGTGAGTCTCCTTGGTAATGAAAAGGAAGGATTTGCTTCCTCAGGGGATTCATAAATATATATATATATATATTTTTTTCCCCCCTCTGTAATTGAAACAATATCTGGAGTGAAGCATCTAATTACTGCTCTCTTTCCTAGAAATTGAACGATAACATGTCCTGTCGATACAAATCCTTTGTTAAAGTCAAACACGGTTTCCCAGGGCAATTCCAACTAACACGCAGCAAAAAGGATTCTGGTTTTTAAATAGTTTCTCTAAGTATAATACCAGTGCCTGATGCTACCTGCTTAATCTTTTGTTCCAGCTCCATTTTGAAAGTACCTTTGTAATTCTGCGTTCCTGCATAACAATAGCTTATAATTCCTGCTCACTTGCAGAAGAGCCTACCTAATTAGACTTTTTAGAGCTGGGAGGGCTTTAAGAGAAATCAGAGTCAACCCACTCATTGGGATAAACTAAATCCTGGGGTGTGATAATGTGCCAAAGGTCACACATCATCAGATTTAGAGAGACCCAAGAGTTCTGTGGCTGGAGAGAGGGAGGCATGAAAACAGAGCCAGGAGTGGCACCCCGCCCCGCGGTCTGGGCTCCAATCCAGTTGCTTTCAAACCAAAGAAAGTCAGCTCTGTGGCCAAAAACTTCGTGCTCTGTGGCATGCTCTTATGCCTTTCATCTGTGGAGGCTCTAGGTGTCTGTTTTTGGTCACTGATGCACCCCCAGGCCCCAGACAGTGCCTACCACATAGTGGGCATTTCATAAACACTTGTCAGACGAGTGGAGAGAATGAATCCTCAGTCAGTGGTGGCTTGGTGTGCACGCTCAGCAGCCCCTGTTTATGGGGCCCATCCAGTCCCCAGCAAATCTTATTTGTAGCTCAAAGTGATGGAGATTCTCTCACAGTTCCAGAAGCCAGAGGTCTGAAGTTAGGGTGTTGGCAGGGCTGGGGTCTCCCTGAAGGCTCTGGGACAGTCCTCCCTCAGCTCCAGATGTCCCTAGGCTGTGGGAGTCATCATCACTGCATCTCTGCCTCCATCATCTTCTCTTGGATGGAGGAAGGGCCCCAGTTGTATTGAATGAAGGCTCACCCTGGTCCAGCATCCCCTCATTTAACTTGACCACATCTGCAAAGTTACTATTTCCACATCTGGTCACATCTCAGGGTTCTGGGGGTCAGAACATGAACATCTCTTTTAGGGAGAAGGGACACTCAACCCACAACCACCACACAGCTTTCTTATTTTTTCTTAAATAGGTAACATCAGTAAAATTAGGACAATTCACATGAAAATCCAGATTCCTTCTAGCAAGAGAACTGGCTCTGTGGGCTGTTCCCAGGCCCACCCAGCCTTCTTCCTGCCTGGGTGCGTGGACACTGTTTTAGCTCTTTGATCTAGCCCCGGGTTCTCAACTGGGTGTGGTTCTGCCTCCCCCCACGGGAGGCGTTTGCCAATATTTGATGACATTTTTGGTTGTCACAACTGGAAAGGGCTCCTGGCATCTGGGGGTAGAGGTCAGAGATGCTACTAAACATCTACAATGCATAGGACAGCCCAAAGATTACTAATGGGGTAACCCTGCTTTATAGCACAGAAATATGGCTTCTGTGTGAAAGACTGCATTTCTCAGCTTCCCTTACAGTAGGTGTGGCCTGATGGCCAAGTTCAGGCCAGTGAAAAGGAAATGTGTGACTTCCAGGTGAAGCACCTATGACTAGGAAACTATGGCCTCTGCCTCCCATGGTGGGACTCTGGACCTGAAGCCAGGGACCGAGGTGGTAGCTGAGACCTTAACATGGGACTACCTACTGGGTATGACCAAGGGAACTGGCAGAAAGTGCCAGGGTCCTTAGTCTGGCCAGACTGCCATGCCACACCTTTTTGAGGGAAAGGAACTTGTATCCTGTTCAAGCTGCTGTGTTCTGTGGCCTTCTTGTTACCGCAGCATCACCTGTACCTAGACTTACAACTCTAATCCCAGTCCAGTCCTGTTTCCTCCCATGATGCATTTTTGATTTAAATCAGAGCCTTTCTGGGAAGGGAAAACTCAAGAAGAAAACATAGCAGATCTTGCTGAGTTGGGGCCCAAGGCATACAGGTTCCAACACAAACATTCCAGGGCTGTGGGCAGTGGTGAGGGCCACTTAGCCTGCCTCCCAGCCTTCCAGAAATACTTGAGAAGCAAAATTAACACAGGAGGATGAGGACGAGTCCAGGGCCAGGGCAAACAATGGCATTCTGGGCTAATTTTCCCAAACATATTAAGGACTCTTTTGCATTTTCTTATTTTAAAAAACTCAAAGCCAAACAAAGCAAAAAAAATCTCTGAACTCCCAAGCACTTGTCTGCCATGGTCAGATTCACAAATCATGGGCACAAAATTGCTTTTATATAATTAACCATTCCTGCCAACCATGTTCTCTGGATTCTGTGTGGACAACTGAGATACCAGATGTCAGACCTGAGGATGAGGGTGGGCCTGAAGGAGCACACCCGTGCTGCATGTGTTCCAGCACACACGTGGACACCACCATCTGTGTGGTCCAGCCCGACTCTCCACTCAGGGACAACAGTAGGCAGTGTCCCTGGCTTCTGTAACCTCCGGCCACAGCTGAGGACAGAATCTGCATCACTTGGGCCACTCTGGGTCCTGCACATACTCAGTGCTTCAGTGAATAAAGCAGAAATAAAACTTCCTACTGTGTGGAGGGGTCCATGCCCTCATTCACCGTGCTGGGTGCTGGGATAAAGCGTTGATTGGCACTGGGGTGCCTATCCAAACAGGCTACAGGGGAACAGCAGCCCTAGCAGTGGGGCAACTAAGGTTCACTGGAAGTCCCCAGGGTGACCATTTTGGGGAGAGAAGCTCTAGCATCAAGCCAAAAGACTCATGTGGTCTTTGGTAGGGTGGGGGGTCACCATGAAAATATCTATTGTGGACAGTAAGGCTGCAGAGGCTTGAGCTAGGGCCCCAATCCACCAGATGCTTTTGGGGAACCTGGGTAGCTGTGTCTATATCCAAAGCCTCCATTTTCTCATCTGCAAAGCGAGACATTAATAGCACCTAACCTTCAGAAGTGAAGAGGAAATAACTCCAAGAGCTTTCAAAGTCTGCTGAATATCCAGACACCTCCCTGCAAGTCTCCAGAGGAGAGTGTGGGGAGGAGCCCCTCTTACTGTCCCAAGCCAGCACGGGTACCATTAAGTCTCTGGCTGTGCACTGCATGAGGCAGATTCATTGGTCCTACAAGCCCTGCACAGAGGCTGGCATAGGTGGTGCCAGTATTGTGTGCCATATGAAAAGAATCAGCACCATCCTGAGATAAAGTGGGCAGTGAGTGCCTATCACCTGGGCTGTGCACACGGGGGCTGGGAACATCCACAAAGTAGATTCAGACACCACTGGGATCAGATACAAGATAACAGTGGTGACAGTGATGATGAGGCTCAACCACGACTCACCCACCAAGAGCTTGCTCAATGCCAGGAATTTTAAGATCTTGGTTCTCTTTATTAGAATTGTTTTATTTGCCTAAGTAACTCAAGCTCTTGAAGCAAGTTAAATAATATAGAAATATATGAAGAAAAATGTTAACATCAGCCCCCTCTGAGGCCCACACCCACTGCCCAGCCAGCTCCCCAAGGCTGACCAGTGCAGACAAACCCTGCAGGCACTTGACACATAGCACCCCAGTTAATCCTTCTACATGCACATTGAAGGGCTCAGGGGTGCAGCCATTTGCCCAGGGAACCTGGGTAGTTAGAGACTGGGGTGTAGCAGGGTCTCAGTTACCTCACTAAACTCTCTTTGGAGTCCTAGGATGCCCAGCTCACCCTGGGTCCCATCTCCTCTCCTGGTGGCACGTGGCTGGCCTGCAGGGAATGTGTGTACCTCTCTCAGAATAGCCGAAGACTCCTGGGCAAGTCTGCCCAGCCCCAAACACAGCAAGCCTGTGGCCCACACACCAGAGGCCACCTTTCGACCTGGATTTGGCAGGGTTAGTGCCGTGATGTTTACCTCATGGGCCCACAGTGCCTTCCCGGACTTGAAGGGCTGGAAAAACCCACCTCTCAATTCATAAGTGAAGATCAGAGAAGGAGGCAACATGCCCAGTATCACACAATGACTCAACAGCTAAGGCAGGACAACAGTGGTGGCCATCCCTCAAGCCTGGAGTTTGGCAGATCACAGGTTCCACGACTCATGTGGCCCGTGTGCTGCATCCCTGCATCCCCCCCAACACCGTGGCTGCTGCATTCACCGCCTATGACTGCCTCAGCAAATTACTACAAACACACTAACCTGTAACAACACAAATTATCTACAGCTCTGGAGGGCAGAGACTGAGATCGGTCTTAAGGGATGGCTCCTGGAGGCTCTGGAGAGAATCCGTTTCTGGGTTTCTCCAGCTATTAAAGGCACCTGTGTTCTGGGCTCTTGGTGTCTCTGACTCTGATGTTACAGCTCTTTCTCTATGAGCTTCCTTCCACCTTCTTTCAGTCATAAGGACCCAGTGATCGCACTGGCCCCACCTGGGTCACCTAGGATGTTTTTTCCTCACTTTAGTCACATCTGCAAAGCCCCCTTTGGCATGCAAGGTCACACACTCATAGATTCTGGGGATTAGGATGTGGCCATTTTGGGGCATGTGCAGGTGGGTAATTCTCTCCAAAGGAAGCAGAACAGGGCTG